TTGATGGCCTGTTGAGATGCCCTGCGGCTGCTGTTGCCACCACTATGAAACAGCAGCTATAACGGCAGCTATGGCGGCAACAGATCGAAATATAAAACGCCAATGACTGTATAAAAAAGAAACCCTTTAGAAAAAAAAAACAACCAAAAAGAAGGGTAAAGGCGAAAGGAAATTTTTATATTTGTACAAAATAAAGAAATTTAAAAAAACGAATAGATATCTGCAAATCCCGCAATTCTCTGCTGGTAATGTTGTTTACTTCATTGCACACTATCTTGCCGCTATTTTTATTGAAGGCAAGCCATGCGGCTGTTCCCACTGTTTTTGTTGTTATTGCTATTATTATTATTATTATTATTATTATACAGACTAACTCTGAAATTTTTCCACAACTAATTATTTGATAATTTTGATTTCGGTGTTAGTGTTCTTCTTTTGATTTGGAAGACAACGTTTTAATTTGTTTTAATGGCGCTTTAGTGTAGATTTTTTCGTTTTTGTTTTTTACATATTTTCACTTCATTGTTGCGAAAGTGTTTCTAATTGATATACATATGGGTCATTCCATACAATATTTACACATCAGTGTTTTACTATAATATACTATATACTATATTTTATATTAAAGTTTATGTACGCAGGTATGAAAAAACTCGTAACTTCTACAGTTTTTGTGTTTCTATTCTCAAATTTTTACAGCGTACACCATAATGTTTGACAACTATTCAACCTTTAAAAAAAATAACAATCAAAGTTATCAAAAGTTACTATAAATTTTAATTTGTCCAATAAATCAAATCATAAATAAATTTTGTGTTTTATTTGGTCGTTGAATCAAGCTTTAAATCAAATATATTTCTCCTCTTTCGTAACACTTAAGACTTTAAGATTAGATTAGCAAATGACTAAGAAAAACTTAATTTCTCACCTTGGTAGCTGCCATCAATCGATATTAGACTATCCTTCCTTGCAAGCATTGACTTCTCTCAACCTTTTTTACTAATAGCCCAATCAAAAATAAATTGAGTTCATCGCAAAGGTTCAAATAATTTCGTTGTCGACGATAACAAGCGTATATACGAACATATTCGCTGGCATTTAACAACAGTCAACAAAAAAGCTGAACTATCTTGCGGTAGGCAGTTATAAGTTTTAAATAGCAACAAACTAAAAAGTTTACAACAATGAATATAAAAAAACTGCTTTTAAATTAGCACAGAAAACTAGGCAGAACCTTTCTGTAACTTACTTTCCTTCCATTCAATCTATGGCCATGCCTTTCTCTATGACGCTTGACTGTTGTTCAGCGTGCTAGTGGAAAGCAAATCGCTGTAAATTTTAACTGAATTTTTAGTACGAAATTTGTTTTCTTCCAAGAAATTGTTATTAATTGAATTCTGCTTTAGCGGAGATACGCGCGTTTATGGGAAAATAAGATTTTGCCAACCGACAAATCGTAGAAACCAAAAGCAAAACGAAACTGCAGCAATATTCACTGGTTTCGACATGCCTTTCGAAAGCGAATTAAAGCTTGGGTTACTATTAGTAATTAAAACATGTATTTAAAGGTGTAGGGATTTCATTGAGTTTAGAAAGGTTTGAAAAGCTATTGCCTTGTCTGGTATGGGGACGACAAGTTTTGAAGAATCGATTGCGTGTGTCCTTTTTCTGTTTGCAACAAGCAACCTAGTTTTCCCAATTTGCGCTATTTGAAAGATTTTTGCTATTCATTGTAGTTTCTGAGCTAGGACACTGTTATAAGTCATGGTTCTGTACTGGCTTTACTCCTAACGCCGATTGTATTTATATGAGAAGCTATTTTTCATGGCAGAAATACACTCGGAGGTTTGCCACCGCCTGCTATTAGAAAAAACGTTTTATTGAAGTGAAGCTTCTTTAGCGTCAGTTGATTGGATTGGATTAAATTGGAAAATTCAACGGAAATTGCACTTGGAAATGGTGCAAAGGAAATTGCACACGGTAAAAGTGCAACGGAAATGGTGCAACGAAAATGATGCAACGGAAGCGGTTGGGGCTGAAGGTTAAAGAATAACAGTTAGAAAAAGAACAAGACAAGAACTGAAGTAAAGGTGAGTACGTACATTGGTAACCAAAAGGATAAAGGCAAAGGAAAAAATAGAAACAAAAACAAAGGTGCATAAAGATAAAGGCAAAAATGAAGACCAATGTAAATGTGAGGCGGTATATGTGGTTGAAGAAAATAATAAAATTAAAGTAAAAACACAGGCAAATATAAAGAAAAAGATGAGGATAAAAGTAAAGACGAAGATAGAGCAAGAAAGATGAAAATAAAGGTTATTATAAAGAAAAGGATATAGACAGAGACTCAATCTAGGGACTATTTCGAGATTTTAGTGATTTTCGGGATTCTCGGGACTAATCGATATAATAATCGATATTTTTATCGGTTTTGTTATGANAAAACACAGGCAAATATAAAGAAAAAGATGAGGATAAAAGTAAAGACGAATATAGAGGACGAAAGATGAAAATAAAGGTTATTATAAAGAAAAGGATATAGACAGAGACTCAATCTAGGGACTATTTCGAGATTTTAATGATTTTCGGGATTCTCGGGACTAATCGATATAATAATCGATATTTTTATCGGTTTTGTTATGAATATTTTTAATAGATTTTGTTATCGAAATTTGTATCGATATTGTTATCAATTTTGCATCGATATTTTCCGAACTTATCGATGTAAATAATTATCGATATTTTTATAGATTTTTTTGTTGGTTTTGTTATCGATATTTTGATCTATTTTGTTATCGACATTTTTATCGATTTTGTTATCAATACTTTTATCGATTTTCTAATAGAATTTTGTTATCGATTTTATATAGATATTTTTATCGGTTTTGTTTTCGATATTTTTATCGATTCTCCAATCGATTTTTCTACCAATATTATTAGCGATTTTGCTATCGGATTTTTTTATCGAATTTGTCATCGATTGTGCTAACTGACGCCAGTTGGAAATGCCAAGTGAAGCCAAGCCTTTCTCCACCTGGTCTTTTCGACGCAGAGGAGGCCTACCTCTTACTCTGTTACCTGTAACGCGGGCCGCGTTGAATACTTTGCTTCTATCTAATCCCGAGAAGGCAGAATAGGAGTAGGCGGGTGAGTCGGGTGGCGAATAAATTGGCCGTCTTTTGTGTTTGCAGCTGTTTCGACGTTAAGCTTTCCTTGCATTGTTGGGCGCACACTGTTTGGTGCACAGGAGCGGTGCGTATCTTGGCTGCAACATGATAGTGGTCCGAGTCGATGTTTGGCCCTCGACGTGTACATACGTCTAAAACGCAGAGAGCATGCCTTCCGTCGTTCACAACATGATCGACTTGGGTTCTTTTTTCCGATCTGGAGACAGCCATGTAGCTTGGTGGATTTTCCTTTGCTAGAACCTAGTATTAAATATTTCCATGTTTCGGGCCCGGCAAAGTCAATCAACTTCAATCCGTTATCGGATGTTTCGTCGTGGAGGCTGAGTTTTCCGATATTGGCGCCAAAGTTCCCTTTCTTTGCCCACCTTGGCACTGAAATCGCCAAGCACGATTCATATATCGTGTGGAGGCAGAGCTCATAGGTTCCCTCCAAGCGCTCATAGAACAGATCCTAGGACGCTACGTCTTCCATCGAGGCATGGGCGCAGATGAGCGAAATATTGAAGAATTTTGCTTTGATGTGGATTGTGGCTAGACGTTTGACTACCGAGATGAACTCCAGTACTCGGCGACGGAGTCTCTCTACCACGACAAATTTGCGCTCCTTTACGTGCCAACTATAGTAGACGTCGCAAGATTGACGCTTACTTTGTCCTGCTCCATCCATCGCATTTATCGGATGGCGGTGATGTCAGCCTTTGCCTTCCCGAGGACATCAATCAGCCGGGAAGAGGCACCTTTCCCATTAAGGGTCCGGATATTCCAGGTTCATAGCCTCAAATCATACTCCTTAATACNTGCCAACTATAGTAGACGTCGCAAGATTGACGCTTACTTTGTCCTGCTCCATCCATCGCATTTATCGGATGGCGGTGATGTCAGCCTTTGCCTTCCCGAGGACATCAACCAGCCGGGAAGAGGCACCTTTCCCATTAAGGGTCCGGATATTCCAGGTGCATAGCCTCAAATCATACTCCTTAATAAGTTTTCCGGACGTAGTGAGCTGCGAGTTGAATCATATGCACAAAATTACTTCTCGCCACTCCCAGGTGAATTGCAGTGAAAAGCTTTCCATTTCTGCTCACGGAATAATACTCCTGCTTGATTTATCTTAAATTACTTAAAATGGTGTGAATTTCTAAGAAAAAGCATTTGCTTAGGTTTTATGCATACAGCCCAATGTTTTTTTTTACATTTTAAGATTATATATATATGTACGTCTCATCTTCGAGAATATTCGTATAAGGCTGACGGTTATTCGGTATTATTTATTAATAAAAGTAAAAAGAATTNTTATCTTAAATTACTTAAAATGGTGTGAATTTCTAAGAAAAAGCATTTGCTTAGGTTTTATGCATACAGCCCAATGTTTTACATTTTAAGATTATACATATATGTACGTCTCATCTTCGAGAATATTCGTATAAGGCTGACGGTTATTCGGTATTATTTATTAATAAAAATAAAAAGAATAATATGTGAATCAAATGAAAAGTAGTTTTAAAATCCCCAACTCAGAGATATTAAGACGTATATGTATTTAATTAATTTTTAAATTTAAAAAGTATAATTATACACTCCGATCAAAGCTCGGGAATTCTGGTACTAAGTACATAGCAATTATAAAACAATCATACCGGGTTTCCCTTACCACATCTGCACGGCCATCACAGTTGTATTACGAGTTTGTGGCTTAAGTCTTTCGTTTACGTGTGACAATTCCACACAAATGCTCAATTTATAAACCATAATAAAAATTTTCTTAAACCTTCCGATTCTTATTCCTTTCGTTTGCTGCACTTACAGATGCCGATACAGCTAGCGTATTCTTGGTTCTTGTAATGGCAGCGCCTGGAAATGCGTGTGCGATACCAACAGGAAAGACATGCTCTGCGATCGAGGTGAGTAGAAAACAATTATTTGCCTATACAAGCCGCAGATAATAAAGTACATAATTAGGGGATTCACAAGACGTGTTAACCGTCGTAAAATCTTAAGGTTAACATCTTTTTTAATTAAAATGGTTTTAGGGGATTTCTAACTAAACCGAAATTCTTTTAAACTGATAAAGAATATATAATTAGCCAACCCCCCAACCATTTTAACCGCTATTTTACATAAACAAGTGCTAAGCTTAAGATTTTACGACGGTTAACACGTCTTGTGAATCCCCTAAATGTATCTAAATAGTCATTTAGGCCCAATGCAAAATGTTTCATGTGTCGCTCATTTACGCATAAACTGCAAATTGCCACAGTTTCCAGAATACTGCCATCTAGTGACCACAAATGCCTTTGACTGCATTAAAATTCATCTATTTAAATTGGACCATCATAACAACAATAACAAAAGCATATGTAGCATTCATCTTGAAGTTGGAGCAAATGCAAGGCAATAAAAAACAAAGCAAATTATTGCAAATCGTACATTTTAGCCGCAGCCATAATGCATGTTGCATGTGTCGACACGACAATCAGCTGCACAGCACGCTTATTCCAACAGTATCACTCATATGTTGTTGTTGGTGTTGTTAATAGTTTAGCGAGTTTCAAACAGTTTCGTATTTCGCTGGCAAATGGCTACATTTTTTTTGTAAAGTTTTATTTGCGGCTTTCCTACTATTAAATTTCATGTTTTCTCTCGCTTTTTCACGCTTTGCTTTTGTGTTGTTGTAGACTTAAATTAGTGTTGCATTCACGAATGCTGCTTGCGTGATGGTACATGTGAGAATAGCACACCTGATANAAACTGAATAATAAACTTCTATAACTTAAAGTTGTCGTATTTCCAAGTGCGTTTGTGAAGAGATGTATTTACATATCTATGTCCTGAGGTTTGTATGTATGTACATTAGGGTGGTACACATTTGTTTTCCTCCAGCTACTGCCTGACGTGAAGAATATCAAAAATATGTAGACGCGTATTTTTTATTTTGAGTTATGTAGGTTAATATTTACCTGTGTTGCCGGGGCTTTGAAATTTCCTATGTAATATACATGAAGAAAAAACAATTTTTTCGTAGAATTGCTATCAAATAGTTAAAAATAAATATTTTTTGATCGAATAAGACTATGCTCCCTCCGAAGTCTTAAAGAAATAACCATGATGCTTATTTAACTTAAACATTTTACTGAGTACTTTTTAATAACCGGTAATTCTATCTGTTATATAAAAGAATTAGTTATTTTATTTTTTCATAATTACATCATATGCGCAATTCAATGGATGTGTTTAATTTTTTTAGCATTTTGTTGATGTTTTCTGTACGTTTGAGGTAAAAATTATGAAAAAGAGGTTTGGATGATGTTTGAAAATTTAAAATTATATAAAGTCAATATAATATCTTAACGCCCTATTCATAAAAAATAAAATAGATTTAAAGAGCTGTATAAAGTGACATTTTCATATAAATTTTCTACTTATAAAGCAGTTAAAGTCTTCTTTATTTTTTATGAATTTGGGTGTAAGTTTATTATTCAAAACCAGAAGCGTTTGAAAATATTTAAATACATTTTTAAACTGGGTTGCCACCTTTCTTAAAAAATAGAACAATGATTATTTAAAATTTAAGCTTATTGCCACCCATCTGTTAACTAAGAAGAGGTAATTATGTAAGTTAAGTGAAATGTGCAATATGCATTTTCGCACATTCGATAGTTTGATATGGTATCGACGATATATCGCCCCCTTTTTTTTTAGATAAGTGCCAACTCTAACCAGAAATACTAAGGGTTAAAGCTTTATTTTAATACCTTTTGTTTGGAGTTCCTATTTTACTTAGTTGCATGTAGCATGATTTAAAAAAAATTTTGGTATAGATAAATGGCAACCCTATCCAAAAACATATGTGGTTTAAAATATGTATTTAAATTTTTTTTGCGATTTTATAGCAATTCTACAAAAAAAAATGTATTTTCCCCATGTAAAATACTTGGAAAACTTCAAGACCCCGTCGGACCTGTCTTGGGTCCGATCAATTCAATTTTTTTGGTTTATTTTGGAAAGAGTTTCGGTCATCCCTTGTCAAGCTTGGTATGTAGACAAACCGGTTTCGGCGTTGTGCCATGTTCAGTGTAATTTTTTTGCTTTATTTTTCGTTTTTGCTAAAAAATTAAAAATTTGTTTTCAATTGCATGTTACATTGCAGTTGTAATTCTTTTTTGGTGAAAAAATGACCTTTTTATCTAATAACAGTAAAATTCTGCAGTCAGCTTCACAAAAATTTGGAGCCAGCACTTTCCCACCAACAAATAAACGTGGACGATGGTTCTTATATCTGTATTATACTAAGGTAAATAAACAATCCGCCAAATGTAGAATTTTCACATAACGTCTAGGCAAAGGACACCAAAATAAATTTATAACTTGTGAGGAAAATAAATGACAAACTAAACAATTATCAATGAATCAGCTCCACATGTTTTTAATCTATAAAACTGTTATGGGGTAATTCGGAAAGAAATCTGCACTACGAAATGATACAACAAACGCCTTTATATTGTGCGATACCAAGGCATGAGGGCTACCGTTTAAAAAACAGTTGTTTGCGGCGAATCATCACTCGGGCTAAAAGGATAAATCCATTCAGGAGCTATAACCGATAAGTCAAAAATTATCGAATTGTGATTTCATATTTATTTAATAAATACGAATTTTAAATTATTGGTAAAAATATTTTTTTAATTAATACTCAAGCTTCGATATTTAATTTTTTTTTTTGAAGATAGAAGTAAAACATAAAATTTTTCAACAGAAAACATTTCATTTCCTTTGGTTTTCAAAGAATAAACCAGTGCTGCGCCGGCAACTGAGAATAATACCAATACCAACTGGTATATTTGGCATACCGGCGCGCGTCTGATGGTCACGGTAGAGTTATAACATGCGCGCGTATATGTTGGAAGTGGCGAAGGTGTAGCTTAACCAGAAATATCCACATTCCTTCATAATGCAACTGCAACAAATTCACAACGTCACTGAGAAAGGCACGAGTAACCTGCGATACATGTTAGTGAATACATGTGTGCCTGTGCGCCTGGCAGAATGAAATCATCATGCAAAATCAATAAGTGCCCAGTATCTATAAGTATATTGACTAGTTGGTTAGGACTCTACGATTGCCACCTAGGCGTTTGAATGGCGGCCAGAAGATTACGTCGTGCACATGCTCGGCATTACTTGGATTTATGTTTCATACATTTGAACGTATGGCCTTTTACTTTCTGCTATTTCTTCTTCTTATTCAGGTGGGTTTTCATCCTTTTGAATTACAGCTATTAGTCGCATTCACTTGAACGAACGGACTAGCGTTCGATCGAGCGACTAATCTGCAGCTGTGGCTGGTAATTGGAAAAAATGCACAAATACTTTAAGCAAAATAAAATGTAGGCAGAGTACGGTTAGCAAGTATTTGTGCGTAATGAGTTTAGTGAAAAGCGCGTAATTGCGTCCGAGCTGGATACTGCAATTTGTGCACTGTCCAATATTATTAGTTCAGCGGCCACATTTGCCATATTATTGTCGCATTTATACAGGTTTTCGGTATATGTGTTTGCATTGTTGCGGCGGAGTTTTTTTTAGTTATTTTTTTTTTGTGTCAAGCACATTTGAATTGTTAATAATTTGTGTTGCAATTACGTGCGTCTTCATGCCAAATTCCCAAGTGCTTTACTTTCACTCCATCAGCTCGTGTTCGCCTATAAACTGCAATGTTGCATGCCTCATTTACAACAAAAATGTACAACAATTCTAGTAACACCTGCTGGCATTAGTAATCGCATGCTAATGGTTTGCGCTGATTTCATTTCTCTCGTTATTGGCAATCGAAATTTTATTACCTTTCGAAAGCAGAACTAAAGACTTAAGCAACAAACTTGCTTTTTCAATGAACAAAATTAGGCACTTCATTTCTATATCACAAGTGAATGTAGTCTGAAGTTTCTCATGGAATATGCACACAAAAAAAAAAGTTTATTAGGATTAGACATGGAATAATCGCGCAGCTTGGGTATTCCGCGAGAGACGTATTTTCGAATGGAAGCAGTGATTACTTGACTTGCGTACTTTGATGGGTTAGAGCGGCCATTTGTGCGAAAACGCAAAGTTAAGGTATACACATGTAGGTACGTAAACATTGCCAGTGCATACAAAATACTATAAAACGAACTACTTGCATGCGGCATCTTATGACTAATTACCTGTTTTATATGCGAGCACAACTTTCTTTGGGTCGGTGACATTTTCCTGAGGCTGACGACAAACTCATACTTTATATCTAAAAGCTCATTATATGAAGTGTGATACACTACGTTGAGATGAGAAGAATGCATTTGTTAAGAATAATAAACAAGAAAATTCTGAATATGCACCTGCAGAGAATTTCTATATGAAACTAGATTTGCGGCGCCTGATAAGAACTTTTCTACTGGCTAATGTTAAAATTCTTAGTTTAAATTGAAACGACTAAAGAGTTGAATCATTCTCAAACATAGGCTAAAAATAGTAGCGATGTGATACCATATCGAATACTAATCGCTTTCGATGGCATGAGTCTGTAAGATGATCTTATTTTCGCCGGTGAGATGTCTGCCAGGCGTGTGTATTTTTCTTCTATGATCTGGCAAGTACACCATTGGTCCGATTCAACATGCAAGCCACTAAATGTCTTTATAAGGAAACCTAAGGGCACAGAAGTGCGTTTCCTGTTATAGGGGGGCCAAGAATACTCTCTGTTCCATTGGACGAAAACTTTTCCCGTACATTGGCCAAATCAGTCATTGATATAAATACCGTATTCTTTCTTGAAAGTAAGTATGAATACTTAAACCCATCCTTCATTTGGCCTCTGAAAAGTAAATTCTTTTAATAAAACCATCGTTCCCAAGAAGACCAGCCATACGAAACTTCTATATACATGTATTGCCTGCAGCGTCATCTATTATATTATAATAAAATTGTAATTAGAGTTAAAAAATTATATATTTTTCATTATGAAAAGAAACATTTCCGCATTACCGGCCAAGAACCCAATTATATTTTCAACATAAATGCTAACCGATGCCCTAAACACTCTTCTCTTTCTTTCTTAAGTCTTTCATTTCACCTATTGTGCAGTTGAATGAGTCCTCACAAATCGAAATTGGTCAAGTTCTTATTTTAAGAATGCGGCATAGACAAACAATTGTTAACACAGGCCTACTTAATTTATAAAAACCAATAAAGATAAACAACAGGAACACATTTCAATGACTGAAATAAAAGCCAGCATGCGATTTTCTGCAACAGATAAAAATGACTTTCTCTGAAAATACATACTTATATAAATATATTGCCATGGAATCACTTTTGGCTAAGTGTTTTTTGTACATCAAACTACATAGAAGATTTCCCGACTGCCACACCCTTCAAGCATCATACGAGCTCGTATGCTCAATCTTTTCGTATCTTAACATACATTCATAAAAGCAAAAACACACGCGTAGCTACAGAAGGAAACAATAAATTACATTGCTCTAACTCTATTCTAATAAAACAAAATCGCAGTAGTTAAACCTGGAAACAAAATCATTAATTCATTGCCTATTTAATTTGTCATTTCTATTTGTCCTTTTCATCTTTTACCTTCCAGATGTTGGCGAGTGTGCTGGCGTTGCTTGTCAAGACTGTAGCTCTTGCACTTACCCAATCGAAGGCTTTTGCTGTGAATGTCCACTGGAGTGGGCAGGCGTGCTATGTCAAATGCTTGAGATGAATACGAGATCCACTACGCGACAACCAGCAATAATGATGACGCTGAAATGTGAGCTGAGGCGATATTTGATTTATTTATTGAATTTATTTATTTATTCTAAGGTAGTACAGTTTTTATTCAGCAGAGTGAACTGTTTCACTCGAATTGTTATCACTGGGCATACGAAACTAAATTAAATTAATTATCAACTATAAAACTTCATCATATATAAATATATAGTGGGAGTAGCAATAAAATTTATTCAGTCTGCCTAAATACCTAATTATTAAATTTTTAAATGCTTCATGCTTCTTATGGTTAAAAATACCTATACATTTTTTTTTATGTTGTTTTTCAGGTCATAGCCGGAGGACTGACAGAAAATTGCACTGACTTCAACTTGTAATTTAATTAATTAATTTATTTTGCATAGTTTGCAAATAAATTTGGAAAGTATGATTTCATTTAATTTAGATGCATATATTTACAATAAAATGTGTCACTTCGGCTGGCACAAAGCTGTCTACATAATTTACTGTTAAATACATCTCCCTTGAAAATTTATTGAAAATAAATTTCATCAAAATAAATTACAGTAAATAGTGACGTTTTCGTTTGTTGTTTACTCATTGGGCCCTAAAGAGCTTTATTTATAGCTAAGGATATCGAATTTATTATTTAAATATAAGCCGAAATAAAATGAAA